AGGAGGGGGAGGGGAAACACAAGAGAAAAAGACGAGAGCAGTTTACGTGTAATCAACAGAGGGACAAAAGTCCAAAACAAGGCGTGAGAGGTAGTTAGAACTTTTCTATCATACAAATTACTTTGATCTTTACTCTAAGGACAATGGGAAGACAACACAGTTTGCTCTGAACAGAGCACTATGGGGCAGAATGAAATGTGGAACACTGCACGGGGTGCCCTGGACGGTGTGGCACGGCTGGAGCTGCTCCACACCCCAAAGGTCGCAGGTTTCGTTCCTGGGCAGGGCACATGCCTAGGTTGTGGGTTCAGTCTCCAGTTGGGGAGCATGTGGAAGGCAGCCAATGTTTCTCTCTCATACTGATGTTTCTCTCTCTCTCTCCCCCTCCCGCCCCCCTTTTCTCTCTCTAAAATCAGTGAGCATATCCTCAGTTGAGGATTTAAAAAAAGTGCACAGGGCAAAGCAGTTGTAAGACTTGATGGCTGCAGGGTTGGGAAGACAGCAATGGGGGTGGAGAGAAGCGACAGATTCAAAGACTATTTAAAAGGTCAAATTACAGAACTTGGTGATGGATTGGATACGGGGATGATGAATGGTTTCTGGTTTCTGGCTTGTATAAGTGACGGACAGACAGGCCAGTTGCCGAGACAGGGAAGTTTGGAGAAAGCCCAGGAAATACAGAGAGATCAAGAACTCCCTTTGGACACACTGCGTTTGGGGTGACTTTGGGACATACAGGAGGACACGTGCGTTGCCTACTGAAGCCACGTGTCTGAAAGCTCTTAGCCGCAGAGCCCGCTGGAAACGTCCACGGTCAGGGCGGCCTCCAACACTGTGCGCTGAGCTCTACCCAGAGCGCCTGCTGCTTTTATCGTTTCGTTTATCATGGAATTCATCTCCTTACCTTTCTAAGAAGTGACACCATTTCCTGTGACCAGGCAGAAGGGTAGGACACAACAGCCATCTCAAACATGTGGGCAATTTCCTTGCTGGAAGTACTGGAGCGAATATGGTAGGGTCTCTTAAGGGAGAGAGGAAGGAGAGGCTTCGTGTTTACAGGGTCCAAGGAAAAAAACGTTGCTTTGCAAAGGTTTCCAAGTTAAATTTTCAACCAAGTTAAATTTTCAACCAGGAAAATCTCTGTGTCATTTTCTCACCCCCTCCAGCTGGTACTCTTGTTGGCAAATGCACATATGGTCCCGTGTGGCCAGATCTCCTACTTTTTAAAAAAGACACCAGAAAAATCTATGGTTTCGTTTGAAATCTCAGAATCTGTAAAAGTTGATGATTCCCCTCGGCCAAACAAAACATTCCTGTGGGCTAAACCCACCTCTTGAGATGCTAATTTGGAACTGTTTTGTGAGGCAACCTATGAACGTATTTTCATAAATTACTGGACACGTGCTCAGTAAGGTGAAGTTTTAAACCATTAGACACGTGCTCAGCAAGTTGAAGTTTTAAACAATTGTTAGTTTGATTCTAAAACGATTCAGAGTTTACCATATGCCTCTTTTCACTTGTTTGGATCATAATATGTTCAGGGTAGGAAGTTACCCAAAAGGCCTCAACCCTGTCCGAATGTTACGAGTCCCTGGTTGTATGGAGCGGGGTGGCAAATTTTATGGTGAGGCAAAAATATTTTTATTTCGGACAGAACCAGGTTCATTTATAGTTTTAACTGGGACTGTGGGGGGGCGTAAAAAAAAGTGGCTTTATTACACTTTTCACAAACATCCACTAGAGGTCAGCCTTTACCTGTAGTAATTTTGTTTCATGAAGGAATCAACCCTGGGATTTTCTCTTTTATGTGAGCTGGGAGTTACTCAAAACCAGAGATTACAGCATACTCACATTTTCCCCATGCGTCCTAGCACCCAGCAGGTGCTCATTACATGTGTTTGTTGAGGGAACAAAATTTCCATGTTGGATTAACCAGCAATGGGCCGGTTAATGTGAACATGGGCATGTACCAAGTGTCTGGCCCTTTGGAGACACTTAGTAAATGACTGTGGACTGATGAACTAACCTGGAAGACATGGAGAAGTTTATTTATTTCCCTGTTGTAAATCAGTCTTAAAAGGTAATATAATTGCGTGTTTGAGCTCTGAAGGCAAGAGAATTTCAGGGCTCAACGGAGTCACTCAAATTGAGTTTCGGTTCCTTCATCTGTACAATGAACCACCTCACGAGACTGTCGGGAAAATCGAATGGCACAGAGCCTTTGATGTTCTCGAAAGAGTGGCTAGCATATTAGAAACAACGAAGGAGAGAGGTTTTTATTATTTCTGAGACAGGGTGGAAAAGGGGGATATGTAAATGTGGACAGTGACCAGCAGGATGAGCCATGTGCCAGTGCCACTTACTCAGGGAACCACGAAGTGCTAGGAGGTGGCCCCTGCAAACAAGACTGGCCAGGCTGCATTTTTTATGCAAGGTCTAAACACACCTGTCGTGGATTTTCCTCCCTCAAGACGGAATAAAGCTAATTCTGGCCTCAGTAACCACACGGTGGAAATAACCCACGAACCCTGAACCCGGTATCAGAAAAGGCGAGCTGGGCACCTCATCAGCAACGTCAGTGTTTCCTGGCTGCTGACCAGGCGCAGGGCAGGGCCCCTGCGTGACATTCCTCCCCGGGAACCATTAAGAGGCGGGCAGGTTTGGGGTACAAGGTGTCCAGGCTTCCGTGCGTGTGCATGTAAACGTCCTCCCAATTTCCTCCTTGGATTCCGTGCTGTTTCCTAACCGACTATTTCTTAACCATCTAAAATCACAAAATGATTTGATGGATGAATCATTTGCTGATGAAGGCCGCAAGCAACTGGCTTCACAGTGTTTCCTTTTCGTTTACTCAGAAGGCCGTGCGACTGGTTTTTAATATATTTTTTTAAATCCTCATGGCCTATCAGCTTATTAAAACTAGTCCAATTGCCTTTGTCTTATACAATGACTTATTTATCTAGTTCTAAATTTTAAAAATCTGTGTTAATTCATTAACGGCTAGGTTTATATACTTCGTCTTTTACCAAAAATTAATTGAATGCCTACTACGTCCCAGCAGCTCTAGGGGGCACTGGGGATGAAGAACCATAAAGTACAAGACAGACATGATTTCGAGGTTGGTGGAGCTTATCGTCTCCTTAGGGAAGCCACAGGGGGTTATAGAGACTGTACTCCCACACGTCAGTGAACAGATTCATGCTACAAAGGGAAATTACAGTGTCCATGCCAGGATGCATCGAACAACTTTAAGGCAGCATAGAAATTAAGTGAGGCCCGGCCGGGCGTGGCTCAGCGGTTGAGCATCGACCTAGGATCCAGGTGATCGGGGTTCGATTCCCGGTCAGGGCACATGTCCGGGTTGCGGGCTCGATCAATGACTCTCTCATCATTGGTGTTTCTATCTCTCCCTCTCTCTGAAATCAATAAAGATATATTAAAAAAAAAAAGAAATTAAGTGAGAATATAAATAATGAACAACGTGGAAAAGGTAGAGTGTAGGTGGGGGAAAGTGGAGTTCTGTGCTATCATATTTCAGGGGTACACAGCAAGAACTGCGAGGAATGTACACTTAGGGCAAAACTCCATGCATCCCTATGACAAGCTAATACTTATGGAAAACACAGAACCAGAAAAGTCACGGGCCTTGCCTTTACAGTGACAATGACAGCCTGGGAACAGATGACAGCTAGGGGACCCGTTCATCGCAGCCGTGATCAAGCTCAGAGACCACGGGGGTGCTTCCGAGCACATTTCTCTTGGAGGCATATATTTTTCTGTAAATAAGAATTTGTAAGTGTGGAGAAAGGACTGTTTAGCACACTTTCTCTGGTTTAGTCGTGCTAACGGTCGTAATGAAATGCTGTGTTTCATTTCTTCCGATTAGCTCCGTTTTGAAACATAATTCCCTGCAGCCTACTCGGTGATTCTTCCTGGAATGTGTCAGAACTGATTTGTAGAGGCTCGTTTCTGCATTCATTCACTAGACATCTGTCTACCTAGTTAAATACCGCGGCTACTGCTGAAGTATGTAAGAAACATGCTTCGCCTTTCGTGAATTTACAGTCTCAGGACATAGAAGAGAGAAAAACATAAAAATCGATATGCCTGGAAAAATTTACAAGGGCAATATATTTACAAAATGACTTTAATCCTAAAAAAATAAAACAGATTTCGGGGTGTTCTGATCTAGAAAGTGCTATATTTGATCTTCAGTGGGAAAAAAGTCTGAGAGAGAGAAAGTATATTTTACTTTTGCTAAAACAATGATAATGTACATAGGTTTGTGCGTGAAAATAGATTAGCCTTATAAAAATAGAAAAGCTTTGGAATTGAGTATGGCTGACTGTTAATAATGAAAGGTGGGACTGGAAGGCCAAAGGAGGGGTTAATTTTTTAATTGAGAATATTCTCTGCCTTAGTGGATATGGCTGATTTTACCTTCATTTTTCTGCTTCTCTATATTTTCCAATAATTTTAAATTCAGAAGGGTCATGAGAGAAATCAAGTGCATAAATACTTGGGAGAGCTACAGAGCATTTCAGCCAGAGATCGGAGAAGGTTCCTTCAGAGATGGGCCTTGTCGGGGCCATGAGAGTGGGCCGGGTTTGAATAAGAAAGGCCTGGAGAAGGGCCTGCCCCGCAAAGAAATGTGGGGCAGTCTAATGGCGGCGGGTCTTTTCTCAGAAACGATCAATATACAGTGAATATAAAGATCCCGACAGGTCTTGCAAGACACATCCTTAACTTTACTCAAACTGAATTTGGCAATTCCCAAACGAATCTGAGTGATTCTTTAGGAAGATCAGGGTTGACCTTGGCAAATATCTTTACAGGTAAAGGGACATGAGGTTAAAAAAAAAAAAGGCCCAAGATGCCTCGAGAGGGGGAAATCCGAAGAGGCAGAAGTGAGTTTATCCTGAGTCAGGGTCATCAAGTTGAAGCCAAATCTGAAAGGTTACCTGGTTCTAAAGGGCAGAGAAGACACCTGAAGGTTGCTTGTATTCATTGGGTGGGGTAAGTCATGTGAAGGGTGCATGTGTGTGTATATGTGTGTATGTGTGCATATGTGTTTTATGTGTGTATGTGTGCGTGTGTGTGTGTGTGTGTGTGAATATGCAAAGCACCGGGAGCAGCAGCATTTTTATTTTTTGGTGAAAGCTCACATCTGTGCTTTAGAAGAATGAACTGCACCCCCACGTTCTCCGCAGCACACTCACAAAAGCCAAGGCGCGTGAACAGCCTAAGCGTCCGTCAGCAGGTGGCTGGGTAAGGGTGGGACAGAGGGATCTACGTGCTGTTTGCAACAACATGGGCGGATCGCGAAGGCATTACGCTAAGTGAAATGAGTCAGACAGAGAAAGACAAATACTGTAGGATCTCCCTTATAATGTGGAGTCTAAAATAGATAACAAAAGAGGTTGCCAGGGGCTACAGGGAGGGGGAAATAGGGAGAAGTTGGTAAAAGGTACAAACTGTGAGCTCTGAGATGAACAGGAGCTGAGGATCTAACGTAAAACCTGGTGACTAAAGTTGATAACACCGTGTATTGTATCAGTGAAATTTGCTAAGAGAGTAGAACTTAAATGTCTCTGTCTCTCATATATATCATATATATACAGCAACCTAATAGTAACTTTTCTTCACCTTTCTAAAGCAAAAAAAAAAAAAAAAAAAAGAATCTGACAATATTGATCCATCAAATAGATAACAGGGAACTACCTACCATAGAGGTAAAAAATAATAATATATGGGGGGGAAGAAAAAATATTTTCTTAAGAAAATTCTTGCTAGGCATTTTCTTAGTTTAAGAAATGTTTCTTTTGAAAGAAAAACTACGGTAATTTGCCACTGAACCCAGAACCCAGGAGCCAAATGACAGGCAGGAATCCAACAAGTCAGGGCATAAATTGTGTTGTATTAATAATTCACACTCGCCTTGGGGAAGCGTGTCTGAGTTAGAGTCTTGTACCGTGACTGCAAAATGCTTTTCTTTAAACAAACAAATACATTTATACAAACTATTTAGTGAGGCATATTGATCTCCCTTCCCTGGGGATTTATAGTCTCCACATTATTTACTGAATTTTATCTGCGTGACAATGTGAACTCACATGCTTGGCCCCATAGCTAGAAGAATGAATGAGTGCAGGCGTCCCAAGGGTTAATGCATCACATGGCACAGTCATTTTCACCTCTCAAACAATGGCTTGATTTTTAGCAAAAAAAATTAAAAATCCATCTTTTCATTCTAAAAATGGACATTGCTGGAAGAATAACCAAAGAGAACTGCATTTCTACTGTACCCGGCCTCTCAGAAGCTCGTAGGCCGTCACTCCCAGGGACCACCAGTCAACAGCAAAGGAATAGCCGGCTTCCCTTCTGGAATTGAACATCTCGGGCGCTGCAAACACAGAAAATTAGGTCTCTTTTATTTCCTGAGACATTAACAATCTATTTCGCCCACCATGGTCCTCCAAAGGCGAAACACTTGTAGGGAGGGTTTCCATCAATGGCTGGATCGCTCACAGCAGCAAACCTTCTAATTTTCTAGTCGCTCTCAGGAGCCTCATTGATCAACCAACACAACAGGTAGCCACAGGCCTTAGTGGACACGTTCCTCTCTTATTTGGAACATGCACCTATGAAAAACTAGATCCCATCAGGCCTCAAATGTGTGGCTGACCCTGAAACCGAGAAGGCCGAGGCAACATGTTGTCTCGATTGGGCAGGTTTGGGCTAAAGGGCTGACATTTGGTGGCCCACAGGTGTTGGACTGGCTCTCCGTCTCAGTCATCTTGGGGAGGCAAGGACAACATTTGAATCCTGTGTTGGGCATGAGGGAAGGAGGGGAGAGGGAGTGGGCACTCTGAGAGAGACAATGCTTTATATCAACTGTGGGGCACTTACACGTTGTAACATAGTTCCTTGAATGGACTCCAGTGGAAGGCAGAGCTATAGTCAATGTTAAGGCCAATGCAATCCCCCCTTGGGCATTCTCTAAGCCCTTTGACACAAGGTGAACCTTCTACATCCTACCTACTCTTCCAGGTGTATCCCTAACTCCTAAGGGGTGGAGTAGGAAGAATGAAACACAAAGCAGGGAGGGAATCTTATCTGCTTGCTCACCACTGCATTCCTAGTGTCCACTATTGAGCCGGGCATGTAGAGTCACTCAAGAGACATCCATTGAATGAATGAAAGCTGCTGAATCAATGAATCAAGCAATGCCTGCAATTGTTATTTCTGGAGTTGTCCTGTCTGTGTTCAAAACTTGCCTTCATCACTTATTGTGACCTTGAGCAGCTCTGTTTCTGAACTTGAGAATCCTCACCAGCAAGATCAGAATAAGGGCAATCTTTCGAGAGAGGAGAAATTAAATGAGACAGCGCATGCCAAAATCTCAGCACGGCCCCTGGCCCCTAGAGAGTGCTAAAAAATTCAGGCACTCTTCTTGCCGTGGCCGGGTGGCTCAGTTGGTTGGAGTGTGGTCCCATATACCAAAGGTTGCGGGTTTGATTCCAGTCAGGGCACATACCTAGGCTGTGGGTTTGGTCCCTGGTCAGCGCACGTATGGGAAGCAACCAATGGATGTTTCTCACATAGATGTTTCTCTCGCTCCCTTTCTCTCCCCCTTCCTCTCTCTAAAATCAATAAATATATCCTCAAGGGAGGATTAAAAGAATTAGGCTCTCTTCTAGGGAGGCAAACATCTATAATGATGGGAATTTTACTACCCAAAGAGCTACACGCACTTGACATCTTCCATAGTGAGGTGCTGGCTCTGAACAAAGAATATTGTTGGACTGTGGGGCCTGCACACACAGTTCTCAGTAAAATCGTAAGGACAACATCCAGTTAGAGGCAGAATGTTGACATCCCAGTGCCCAGGGCTGACCCTGCCTGGACGAGCCGCAGCAGCAGGGCTGAGCAGGCCCGTTCCCTATGGAGTCACCTTTCACGCATCCCTGCACCCTTCCTGTAGGTCCCAGGTCCCTGGGCGATTTGGGAGATAATGGCCCTGACTCCAGGGCACCCCACAGACTGGCCAGAATGGACTAGAGTTCTGCTTCCCCCTCTCAGTATCTCACAGCAAGACATCTCAGAGTCCCCCAGGGCGACAGGCATCTCACTTAGAAAAGCTGCAGAGAGCTTTGAGGGATAAACAGGCCATCGTGCTAGGAAAATACCTATCAGAGCAGCATTCCCCGATAAAAGCTGTGAGTTCTGTCACCTCGGATCATCCCTGGAGTTTACATGAGCATCTTTTTGTTTCTTTTCTACTTATCCTGTTTCCAGCCTGAGGACAATTGAATATATGTTCATTCTTTTGTTTGTTTGTTTTTTAAAATATATCTTTATTGATTTCAGAGAGAGGAAAGGAGAGGGAGGGGGAGAGAGAAACATCAATGATGAGAGAGTCATTGATCGAGCCCGCAACCCAGGCATGTGCCCTGACCGGGAATCGAACCCTGATCGCCTGGATCCCAGGTCGACGCTCAACCGCTGAGCCACGCCCGGCCGGGCTGAATATATGTTCATTCATTCAACAAATATTCACAGTGTGCTAGGCACTGAGGAATTTTGGTAGAACATGAAGAAAAAACATCCTGCCAACACATGAAGGCACAACAGATGGGTAATTCTTTGAGTCCTCCAAGAGTTGAAAAACCAGAGCAGAGAGATAATGAGGGGCTCCGGTCAACCCTGCCAGGGGCTCCCCTGCCCCTGAGAAGGTACAGATAGAGGTGCAGAGGGACGAAGCTTCCTTCAAGCGGCCATTGGGTATTTGGTTTGGTTTTTAAAGTATTTCAGAAAAGGAGATCAAACAGAAAAGAGCAATTTAACAAGGAGTTATAAGTGAATGGCCAGAGGGCCATCAAAGGTCACACAACAGAATCCTGACCCCCACCATCGTTCCTGTCTTGTTCACAACCCTAGAAGTAACCACTATCTTGAATATATGTTAGTGATTTTGTTCCCTTTCTACACAGATTTACTCTCTACACATGCATTTCTAAGCCATACTTCAGTTTTGCCTATATGTTATATATGTGTACATATATATATGTACAGGGGTGGGCAAAGTAAGTCTACAGCCCTGGCCAGCGTGGCTCAGTTGGCTGAGTGTCATCCCGTGCACCAAAATGTCACCAGTTCGATTCCCCATCAGGGCACGTATCCAGGTCGTGGGTTCAATCTCCCATCGGGGCATGTGTTGGAGGCAACCAATCAATGTTTCTCTTTTACATTGATGTTTCTCTTCCCTCTCCCTCTCCCTCTCCTTCTCCCTCTCTTCCTCCCCTTCTTCCCACTCCCTTCCTCTTTTTTTAAAACCAATAAAAACTTATTTAAAAAAAAGTAGGTTTGCAGTTGTGAGTACACGAAACACAAGAGTTCATTCTTGTACTGTTATTTATTAATTATGCATTATTTATTTGTATTATAACCATAAACCTACTTTTGCCCACCCCTGTATATATAATATGTATAAATATGTGTGTGTGCATATATATGTGTGTGTGTATATCATATATGTTAAATCCCACTCCTTGTTTTCTTTGGTGTCTTGCTTTTCTCGTTCAAGATGACAAGTGTAGGATTTATTAAAATTGCCCCACGTGGTTTCAGCAGCTCACATTCAGTGCCTTATTAACATACTATAATTTATCTACCTACCCTATTGCTGATAGCTGTTTGGATTGTTTCCAGAGTATTGCGAACAGCCCTCTCATGAACACTCCTGGACAGGTAGACCTTCTGCAAGCCCATACATGTTCAGAGCACATTTCTGCAAGGGGCACTGCTGGGCACAGAATGTGTATCTTTACATACACTAGATAACACCAGCCTCTTTACCACAGTGGTTGTACCAATTAACACGATGGCCAGCACCATATCAGACCTCCAACCTGCTTATCCACACTTGGTATTAACTAAGCTTTTGATTTTTGCCAGTCTTGCGAGTGTGTAATTGTCTTTCCTTGTGGTTGAAATTGACACTCCCCTGATTACTAATAAGCTTGGCCATATTTCAGTGTCCTTATTAGCTATTTGATTTCCATAATTTGGTTTTCAGATTTTAAAACAACTGGAAAGGAGATTCTGGTCAGGATGTAAAGAAAGGGCTCCAAAGGCAATCTATAACTTTAATGCAATAGAAATACGTAAATTTCATCTACAAAAAACATGTGAGTGATGGTTTTCTGAAAACGTATAAAGGGACTTGCATCTCATGTACTAAACTATATCATAAAGCCATAATGATTAAGCTCTGAAAGACACAGGATATAGATCCTAGCACATAACTTAGTTTATGATGACTATATTTTGACTCAACATGGACAAGATCTTATTTAATAAGTGACCTTAAAACAATTATTTAATAATCCAACAAAAAATAAAGTTGGATCTTTTATCTCATATCTTCAGTCAATATAATACATAGGTGGATTAAGTAAAAAAGAAATTATAATAATAAAAATATTAGGCAGCCATATTAAAAATCTGGAGGTAAGAAGGTCTTGCTAAGAATACCATAAGAAATAGAAACTATAAAGTAAGAAGACTAATGATTTGATATCAGAAAAATAGCTCATGTCAAAATGCCATAAGAACAATAGTGACTAAAAAGTAGGAAATCATATTTATAACACATTCACTAGAATTTATATTATTAATATATAAAGGGCAAGAATACTTTATATAATCATTAAGTAATATCAGAATATGTAAAAAAAGATTAAAACCCTAATAGAAAATGGGCAAAGAACATGAACAGGCAATTTACAAATCAAAGAAATGCAATTTTAATATCATAATGAAGGACCATTTTCACTTATCTTTTTGAGAAGATTAAGATATTGATAATGCAGCCTGAAATAAACCTAACTTTCAGGGGGAAAATGTATTGACATATATACCCTTTGACCAGGAAGTCTTTGGGAGTTTATCACAAGGAAATAATTAAGTTGCTGACAGGATTTTTATAATGAATTCGTATTTCAGAACGAGAAACAGCCTAATGTTCAGTAAAGAAACTGGGTAAAGGAATTTTGATGCAGCCCTGTGTTTTGTATCATGTGACCATTAAAAACAACAGTTCTACATGGGCAAGGAAACATGAAGAGTGCTAGTTGTCTAGACCCAGCTCTGGAGTCAGCGAAGTGGGTGTCAGTTTTAGCTGAAGCTTGTTGATGGACCCAGGTGGGGAGGTAACGAAGCAGAGCGTGAAGTCAGGGCTGGTGTCAGGCCCCGAGGGCTGTATCCACAGCTCCCCTTGGGCAGAACTTCTCAGTCTGAAGTCTCAAGTGGATGTAACAATAGTACCTGCCTCATAGAGTTGTATTTAGTTTAAATGACGTAATATGCTTACTTAGAACAGTGTTGGCACATTGGAAGAGCTCAGAAAATGTGAGTCATTGTACCTCCATCATCATCACCACCACCACCACCACCATCACCATCACCATCACCATCATCACCATCACTTTGGTCATCACCACCACCACCACCATCATCACCACCACCACCGTCATCACCACCACCACCACCACCACCACCATCACCACCATCATCACCGTCATCACCATCACCATCGATATTTGAGATGTTTTTACACTGGAGTTTAACCTTGTGTTCTATCAGTCACTTGCTGTGTGATTATGACCATGTCAATTTCTCTCTAGGCCTGATTTTTTATGTGTGTGTGAAATCCAAATAATAGTGAAACCTATTTTATAGGGTTGCTTCGAGAATTTAATGATACAATAAATGTTAAACATTCAGCAAAGTGCTTGGGCCATAATAAATGCTCACTGTATAATGTCTGTTATTCCTGTGATTACATTGTGAAGTGAAAATTTAGGTTCCAAAAATTCAATATGATGCAACTTTAAAAAAAGGTGTGTTTGTGTGTGCACAGACCAAAGGTCTAGAAGGAATCCATAAATATCGGTAAGCAGAGGGATTAATTTAATGTCCCCTTTGCTTATCTGTGGGGTACACATTTTCCACAGTGAATTTGTTTGTTTTTGGAGAAGAATGTTTTAATTGGTTAAGCTCTAAGTGATCTGGATTAGAGTTGCCCAGATCCAGGAGCAGGGAGAAGCTTAAAGGACTGGAATGACGGGAGGGGGCATGGAATTAGAAGATTATGAATGAAAAGTGGTTAAGAACTGGCAGACTGCTTATCTCCTCATTTCCAGAACCAAGGAACTGCTTCGTAATATGCTCTGCATCTCATATTAATAGCCATGGCATATTCTTATAATCTTCATTCAGTATTGAATCCAAGATTTCTTTCTTTTCAGAATTATTTTCTTTATAGTTAACTGCTAATGAGTATCCTAGAGGAATGCTGTAAAATGAGTGCTGGCAAGGATCTGTTAGGTAGATTTTGACAAATTACTGGGAACATTAATTTTTTTTTTTTTTTTAAAGACGATTTCCACCCATGCTACCTCTTAGAAAGACTGCCATCCAAAAGTTAAAGCCAAGGGCAGCTTCTGGATAGAGAAACAAGAAATATTTCTAGCAGTTTGGCCTACTTACGTTGGCTTATAACCATCTAAAAACCACAAATAGCATTAAGAAAATTTCCCTCTTTCAGAAAGAAGCTTGATTTTCTCAAGTCAGACGGAGCTTGATTTAAATCTAGGCTATTTTCAATTTACCAGCAAATTGCTTAGCTTCCTGTTTCCCTCATTGTAAAATGCAGATAATTGTAGCCTGCCGTGGAGGGTTGTTGAGAAAAATAAATGAGTACGTGAATGCAAAACATTTATCATCATCTGGTCCACAGAAGGTTTTCAGTAAATATTAGTAATTGTTAATTACAAGTGAGAAGACAGAGAGGCACAGAGAATCTTGACCGGATTCCAATTTCCAAGCTCTGTTGCGAAAAGACTAGAAGTGCCAATTTTGAGAAGAATTAAATTATATGGATCCTGTATTGAAAATTACTGGGGAGAGAAAATAAAGGTGGCCTCCTCTCCTCCTCTCACCATGGAAACCAGGCCTAGAGAACCCAGATGCACATTTTCTGGTTTGGCTCCAAGAAAATAGCCCTTAATTGGGGAGGAAACCTGCGGAATTAAACCCATCAGACAAGCGGGCTTGGATAGTCCTTTATATCATTTGAGTACTGTGGGTTTTAGGCAGAAAATAGGCTGAATTATATGTGTCCATTATTGTAGAAGTGATAAAGAGATTTATTCCCCCTGCTGATAATTGGAAGCCAGAAAATTTGCAGTTGCTCAAATATCAGATAAAATAAGGCTTATTCTCTGCCATAGACTTCTCTTAGAAAGTGACATAAAAGAAAGTGGCATTGTCCTTGCCCTTGATGTCAAGTACAAATGCCCAGTGTATGGCCTGGGGATCATGCTGACCATATCTAGCCAGTACAGTTCATTCTGTCCCTGCCTTAATTTAAGGCCACCAGTTTAATCGGTGCCATTGTCCACTTTAAGCATCACAACGAATTAGGACAGAAGCATCTCATTTTGATTCTCTCATATGTTAACAACTATGCAGTGTCCAGCCTCCTTTTTTGCTGAGTATGGGCTCCCTTGATCTTGGCTCAGTCTGTTGCCTAATCAATTTAATCCCTTTTGCTTATTAAAACATTTATTGATGGGTTGGGGGCTCTATCCCAGGTGGGGGGCATGCGGGAGGCAGCCGATCCATGTTTCGCTGTCTCATCAATGTTTCTCTCTCTCCCTCTCCAGCTTCCTCTCTCTCTAAAAATCAATTCTTAAAAAAATCTTTTTAAAAAACCAAACATTTACTTTAGATACTCTAAAACTCAGTCCTGCGAATTTTCAAACCGAGCTCATGTCTGATTCAAAGATCCCGGACACCAGCAGGCTGGATGCAGCCACCTGGGGTGGACATGGACGATCGCTCTGGCTCTCGCACCCCTCCTCCCTTTTCCAAGAAAGCACCACTGGTTTTGGAGCTCAGAAGAAGTGCAGAGGCACAGGGATCCTACCCCAGATGCCCTGCCCCTGCCCCTGCCCCTGGATGGCCTCTCTAGTTGCTTCTGATAGCGAACAGAGCTCATGATCTGCAGTAGAGGTTCTCAGCTTAAAGTGCATGCTGTACTCACCTGACAGCTTTTCCACTACTCCATGGCTGGGTGTCACCTGGACCCCATCCTCTGGCGAATCCCGACCCCCTCTCCACACAATCACACCCTGCATGCCTGTCCCCTCCTGCACGGGTTCCCAGTGGGCTTAACTCCTAGGTCACCAGCACGCATGGCCGGCTCAGCTCTTACACAGGGACTGGCCAGCAAGCGCAGATGGAAGGAACCCGGCACCTCATCTCACACTCCTGCACCGACTTCACCAACAAGCCTCCGGATCTGACTCACGGCCTTAGGGACAGCAGGGCGAGGGGAGGGAGAAGGCCTCTTCCTGAAAACCATATGCCCCCAAAGGGCAACTGACCTGCCTTTATAGTTCTGGGGGTGCATTCGGGGTTAGGGATACTTACGTCAAATGGTATCTGCAGAGAGATGGCTGCTTCCAACAACAGAACACAGGCCTTGCATTAATTTCTGACAGCTCAATGAAATGTGAAACCTAACTGACAGTTTGGGCACTATTTCCTCCCCTTTAGACACCCTCTGGGTACATTTTAAATCTTCAGGCAAAACCCAGTTCCTCATCTTTAACAAAGGAGAACTCACAGTCCTGTGATGAAATGAAAACTAAAATTGTGACTGGAAGGCACTCTGTAAACTTTACAGCCCTCGGCACGTAATGCGGTATTATGTAAATCATGGTTATAATAACACCTGGGACCTATTAGCATCCTACTTAATTCTGCGTCTTACTTCTCTGTTCAATTCAATGTTCAGACTCCTCTCACGAGAAGGTACATTCCGTGGGCTGGAGACCTTGTCTGTGTTGCTCGCTCCAGGGTCACAGCACCTGATCCAGGGCCAAGCACCCAGAGGCAATCAGTAGACATTTACTGAATTAATTAATATTCTTTGTAAGGAAGTGGGCAGGCGCTGTCCTAAGTAACTCCATACAATAGTGTTTTCAAGCGTAATCGACGGCCCTCCTCAGTCAACATCAGATGGGTTGCTTTCTACATGGACAATCCTGAGGCTCACCTGAGACCCATGAAACCAGAAGCTCCCCTGGTAAAGTCAGAGGGGGGCTTGCCGTTTCTAGCTGCCAGTCCCTACAGACGATCGCACCCGTGATAAATGGGGTCTGCAGGAACGGAAAGCCAAAGCCTTGCTCTGAGTCAAGACCGCTGCCCCGAAGCCCGTACCCATGTAAGGCTTGGTGCCGGCCATGGTGGTGATCCGCGTGTCCCTGGGCAGCACGGCCGCGATGTTGAAGTCTGTGATGTGCACGTGCCCTGGCGGGAGAGAGAGACCAGAGTGTTAAGTGCATGCAACTCAGCGGCACGGCCATGCTTCCACCTGGAAGCTTCTAAGTTCTCCTGTGCTCTGGAAACTAGCAGTAAAAGCTCAGTTATTCTGTCCTCAAGGCCAATACGTTCTTCAACCAGCAAAGCCTCCAGCAGCCAGAACATGATATGCCAAGATGAGTATCAGGTTGTAAATCTGTAGTTCAGCCTCAGGGAGCAGTAATTCTGGGGGTTGAGAGAGCGCATGCTCTTGTAATCCTACTTAGAATTTTTATCCACAGCATTTTAAGTTGTTATAACCTGTGAGCGTCAACAGGGACCCAGGAGCTATTCAAAATATCAAACTGCCAATGGCCGCTTATGGGATCTTTTATAAGAGACAAGCATTGTTACTGTAAAGTAGACACGGATGTGGGTACAGCAGGTCTTTGAATAATGCTGTTTTGTTATAACGTTGATGGGAAAAATTGATTCCCAGCAGGAGCCGCTGTGTGCAGTTTGCATGTTCTCCCCATGTCTGCAGCCCAAAGACGTACATGTGAGGTGTGAACTGGCATGTCTACATTGCCCCAGCATTGTGTGTGTGAGTGGCCTGTGACAGAGGGGAGTCCTGTCCAGGGTTGGTTCCCACCTTGTGCCCCGAGCTGCTGGGACAGGTTCTGGCCACCAGGAAGCCTGAACTGGAATAAGAAGGTTGAAAAAGAATTCTCTTATTTTTATTCATCTTCCCTACATGTATGTATAGCTCACATTTACTTTGATGTTTAATATTAGACGTATTTGGGGTCTTTATTTAGAAGCTCAGTGGTGTTTTTGGGACCAGAATATGCCCTAGGAACTTGGCTCTTGTTTACAGCAATTAGCCTGTGGGAAAACTGGTTTCCTTATATGTTGTTTCGCTTAAAGTCGCAGTGTCCCAGAACCTCCTGACAACACTGAGGACTTAGTATGTCTATTTCTTTGCCGGGAAAGAGTCCTTTTTTTATTCCTCAAATAGCATTAGTAGTTTTTGTGTTAAGTCCGGTTGTCCCCTAATGATTCCCAACAAAATAACTCACTGAGGGAAAACAGGGGACAAAGTTTTATTTATAAAGAGGCTGTATGAAGAGCTCTAGACGGTGAGCCAGGAGGCCTGGGCCCTACGCTGAACTCTGCCCCTAACGCTTGCAGACTTTAAGTCCCATTCCTGTGTTGAACCTGTTTCCCTTCATAACGAAGGAGCGGGTGGGCTGGATGACTGCCAGGGTCTCTCAGCTCTGGCACCCATGGGATCACTGTGGGTCACACGGGGTCCAGCAGGGGACACACCTGCAGAGCGCCTGGGGTCCCCGCGCTGCCAGCGAGGAGGAACGGGCGGCCCGGGAGCTCAGGCAGCGAGCTCCTTACGTCAGCTGTTGGCACAAAAGTCACAGGCTTTCCGGGGATCTGCAGGTGTTGGCGTTTCCATTTCCAGGCTTCTGTGGTTTTGAGGGGCTGTGGCTGTAACTGGAGGGGACGTCATCTGATCCTTCTTCCAGGTCCCCAGTGCACCCCCCCGCTGAAGTTCACCATCTACTCCCGATGGCAGTCAGCCCGCTGCTGAAGACGAATCTCCCCGCCTCTATTGCCAGGCTTGGTTTTGTGCCCAAAGCGTCTGTGTTCGCTCATGTGATGACATCTGAAGACAAAGTGGCACTTGTCTAGCTAACAGTGGCGGGTTTCTCACCTGAACGGTACTGGTGGGTGATGCTGGTAACTCCCATCATAGCATAGGCGGCCTCAGGTCCCACCCCCCCATGGGTCATGCTCAAGGCGCTGCATCGCTGGTTCCCAAGGTCTGATAGAAACAGGTGAGCCTGGGGTCTGTGGTTAAGAGCCTGTTCTCCCAGGTCAGGCTATTTGGCATCAAGTCCAGGTTCTATCATCAGCTGGCTGCGTTACTTTAAAAAGGTGGCTTATCTCTCTGTAAAGTTGGGGTGATGATAATAGTCTTCTCAGGAGGTTTTGGGGAAGATCAGATAAAATAATGACTGTGGGAGGCAGCTCAGCATTTGGCAGGAAGTAAGTGTTCAATTGTTGCTATTTGTCATGATCAGAAACCAGAGTTGCAGAAGGTACAGTGTGTGTGTGTGTGTATTTTAATATGATGCCACCACATTTTTAGGCACATTTTGGGGCTCTGCAAGGGAGGAGCTGTTAAGAGAGCAAGCTTAGTTCTTTCTCACACTCCTAGACTAAGTTTTTGCCTTTCTTTGTTCCCCGTGATTATGGATAATATTAAGAAACCTAAATTACAGATGATGCCATAATTATCATTTTGTCAGATATCCCAGGCAGACTGTATTTGCTCTACTGCATACATCATTTATTTCCTGAATAACTTAAAAAACACACAAGAATTTTAGACACTATGGAATGGATAGAATTGGATGGGGTGCTTAAATTGGTAGGATATGAATATATATATATCAGGACAAGTGGTTAGGTGCCATCCAAGATCTAATGCCTCTTGGGCTCTGAACCAGTGAGTGACGCATTTGGGGAGAACTGCAGCGGGTACCCTCTAAATTAAAAAACATGTTTAAAGTCAAATTCTGATGTACAAGGCATGTTTATTCACACCATGGAAAGACTCTCCATTTTATAAAAGGATTTGGCTCCTTTAAATATCAATCTTTTCTGATAACTGTGAACCAAAAGGAATCAGTAGAAATAAACCAAAGTTTCCGCCTGTTGCTGAGTGAAATATCTGAGCAACGAGGTACCATATGCACCTCACTTACAGGAATGGGCACAGGAGGCAGATCAGAAATAGGCAATTATCCTTCCCTGTTGCTGAACCCCCAGGTAAGAGGTGCAGGTGATGGCCCATCAGGATGAAACGGCATAAATGTGGATGGAGAGGACAAATGAAGGTTTAAAACGCAAAGCGTGGAAAATCCCACCAGAAGACCCTCCAAAAGGCCAGCACTGACTTGCGGGTCCGCTGGGTCTCCCAAGAGCAGCTCTGCATGATGCGCTCAGGGTGGGGGATTGCCGGGAATTGATTCATTGAAAAGTGGTTAATTACGGTCTCCGAGCAATGCCTAAAAGCCTTAGTTTTTCAGAATCTGAATCAACAGAAAGCAAACAGCCTCGAAAATTATTTTCCCCAGGAAGGGATCCCAGGACAGTGTTTAGAAAATAGTTCTCAATCTTTTTTGTTCGTTTGCTTTTATTTTACTTACATAGCCAATCCTTCCCAAAGCAATGTTTCTCTTTTTGTTTCCTGATGAATTTTTAAAAAATTTTTATTGTTGACTGTTTCTCTTATTAAAGTATAGTGACTCTCAAGTTGAGTTCGGGATGGGAATATAATACAGAAAAGCCCCATATTAATTCGTTGTCCAAACCAAAAACTCCAAAGGAAAGGGGTCATTGTAAATAGTACCCCAGATAACATGTATACTTGGGACCATCCCCCAGGCCAACTGGGACGCCTGCTCACGGCCCCTGAGCAACTGAGCCCCAGCCCCACCAAGAAGAAAATGCCCTGAAAATCGGGTTTAGCTCCCTGCACACGTGAAGGAAAGCAGGACAGGCCATTGACAGTGTAGCTACCTGAGAATTAGGGTTCAACGAAATTGTTTAAACACCAGATCTAACAAGTAGACATACAAATCTTTGCCGAATCCCTTCTGGAATCAAAATAACTCTTTAGGAAAGAATTATATACCCAGCACTCAGTGACTATCTGATACAGACACGCAGCAACATAAAACAAAGTGAAATAGTCTACGTTTCCTTCCCTCGGGGAGAAAGCCGCTATTGCCTCATGGGCTCATGCTAATATTTAACTTTCCTTGGGTGATTTCCTTCCGGCAGGTATTGTAGTCAAGCACTTTATAAAGAGTATGTCAGTCCGTCTGTACAAGGAGCCTAAGAAATAAGTATTTTTGGTCTGGCCAGTTTGGCTCAGTGGTTAGAGCGTGGCCTGAGGACCCAAAGGTTGAGGGTTCGATTATGGTCAAGGGCACGTGCCTCGCTTGCAGGCTTTCCCTGCCCCAGTTGGGGCGTGTGCTGGAGGCAACCAGCTGATGTGTCTCTCTCACACTGATGTTTCTCTCTTTCTCTCCACCTCCTCCCTCCTTTCCACTCTCTCTCTGAAAAGCAATGGAAAAAATATCCTCAGGTGAGAATTAACAAAAAAGAAATAAAGAAAGACAAGTATTCTTTTGACTCCTGGAGAAACTAAGGTGGCAGAGAAAGCTTATGCAACCTGTTGACACTCTCAGAGCTAGTGAGTGGATGAATTTTTTTTTTAATTTTATTAAATTTATTGGGGTGACATTGATGAATAAATTTATATAGGTTTCAAGTGTACAATGCTATAATAATTCATCATCTGTATATTTCATTGTGCGTTCACCACCCAAGACAAGTCTCCTTCCGTCACTATATATTGGCCCCCTTGACTTTCTTCTCCCCCAGCTCTCCCCCTTTCCCTCTGGTAGCCACCACACTGTTGTTTATGTCTGAGTTTTTGTGTGTTTTTTTTGTCCTGTTTGTTGCTTTCAGTTTTATATTCCACATATCATTGAAATCATATGGTTCTTCAATTTTTCCATCTCATTTCACTTAACACGATATTCTCAAGATCCATCCACGCTGGCACAAGTGACAGTATTTCATCTTTTCTTATGACTGAGGANGTCTTGTCTGTTTGTTGCTTTCAGTTTTATATTCCACATATCATTGAAATCATATGGTTCTTCAATTTTTCCATCTCATTTCACTTAACACGATATTCTCAAGATCCATCCACGCTGGCACAAGTGACAGTATTTCATCTTTTCTTATGACTGAGGAGTAGTCCATTGTCTATATGTATCATATCTTCTTTGGTTTTGATCTCAGGCAATCTGGCTCCAGAATCCATGCTCCTAACTATAGTATTGCACAATCTTTCAAAAGGATACTCTCTAAGAGTGGTTAAACTTGCAGATTGGTTTATTTCTGGACCTTTCTCATAATCTACAGCCACCAAGTTGACAAGAAACCATGAGGAGGTGAAAGAAGTTGAATGAGAGGGGACAGAACAACTTCCTAGTAAAATTAGGATGAAGCCATGTTTGAGATCTAAGATTAAAATACTGTTCTCTGAAATGGAAGGTAAATCTTGAGCAGGTTTTGGTTGACAGGACGTATATGTCTCCATTCAGGGCCTCAATGAATGGTAGAGTATTATATTATAGACAGTGGCAATGGGGCAGGTGGGAGCAGAACCCCAACCTGCGTTCTGCTTGACCAACCAGCCATGCACCTTCGTGAGACTGGTGGGCAGATGAAGCACCTTTTTCTGAGTGGTGCAAAGGTGGCCTCTAGAGGCTAGGGGAGGTCCTCTCCACAACTGTGAGGCTCCGTAGGCTTTATTTGCACTGGGGAGAGCTGGTGTGTTAACAAAAGTCACCTTCGTGCTATGTCTCACCATTGCTCACATTGCTCAAATTCAGAGAACCCGTTCCCAAATGTCAGAATCAGTAAAGGGAAGAGAGAAATAAGGTGTTGAAAGAAAGTGGAAAAAATCTTTTTAGACAGTCTGTAAATAAATAATGACCCTGAGCTTTGAAATCAGAGGTCATACGCAGAAGTGTTTCTTAGCCGTCTGAGCACAGGTGAGGTCTGGCAAGTCAGGTTCAAAATGCAACTGGGTAAATAAGTAATGAGCAATGGATGGTACGTGGAGTTTCAGTCCCACTTGCAAATCCCTCTGTTAAAGTCAAATGAGTGAGGAGCTTTGCAGATCTACGACTCAGCTGGCAGCTTCCTGAGCAGAAGGAAGGTCTTGTTGCCGCTATAACATTGATAACGTGTGGGCTGCGTGTCCTGCAGGCTACTCTGATGGACCAATAAATCCAAATGCACATTCCAATCCATATTAGAAAGAGAAGAGACACATTTAATCATTGTTGGCAAAGGCTTGTTCTACAGGGTATCTTTAACCTGTGTTTGTTGAAAGGCAATCATTCATTTTTCACCTTCATGGTTCTTCCTATATCCCTATATCATGTTTCTATCTGGGTACCACACATAGTGTTATCTCCTTTGTAATTTTCTTTAAATTGACTGATGTTTTAAACTGAAAGATCTTTGAACAGAAAACTTGATATCTCTTCCGCAAATGTAAAACCAATTTGCCCTCCTAAGCAGGAAAGCATAAAAGTAGACATGATATCACCAAAATAGTGTTCCTAATTTCTAGGGAGATATTGTTGTCTGCTAAATGCCCTGAGCTTGAGGCCTGTTCTGTCTTCATAAAAATAAGGAGCTGATGGCTATAAAGATATTAAGGCAAATCTTAATGATGGTTTTCTTGAAGAACTCAGTAGGAGTGAAAAGAAATTGGAAAGAGAATGACTTTCTCATTAGGTAAACTCAGTGTTATTTAGGGTGTATTGGTGTACTGCGCCACTGCTGTAAATACTAAAGTTCCTTCAGATTGTCCCTCCCACTTATAAAATGGAGTTTGCTCCCTGGCCAGTGTACCTCGGTTGGTTGGGGCACTGTCCCATGCACCGAAGAGTCACTGGTTCCATCCCCAGTAGGGGCACGTGCAGGAGGCAACCAATCAATGTCTCCCTCTTGCATCAATGTTTCTCTCTCTCTCTCTCTCTGTGAATAAAAACATACCCTCAGGTGGGGATTAAAAATAATAAAATTAAGTGGAGTTTGTACATATAACTCAAGTCAATCAAGTACGACACCTTTTCTATGTGTAATACTCCTCTGCTGGGTATAATCATTTTTGTTCTATATGCAAGTCATCCTAGTTGCAGACAAATCATTTACTTACCATGTTCATCAAGCAAAATATTGTCAGGCTTCATATCCCTAGGGGAATAAAAAGAAGAGAAAGTTGTTCATAATAAAACAAACATAGGGAACGAAAGGGGAAAGAGGAAAATACTCAAGAAGGCTAATAGGTAGGGTTGAAACAATGTGCTGGCCCCTCGCTCACAATCTAATTCAATTCTCACAGTGAATTGATGAGATGATAACCATGAACACCCCCAATTTCCACGTCAGAAAGTTGAGGCTTAAAGAAGTTAAGTAACTTAGCCCAAGGTCGGAGATAATAAATGGAAGAATTGGGCTCTGAACCTGGCTCTCTCTCATTCAAAACCTAGACTCTTAATTTCTATAGCATTTGATATCTAAGCATGTAAGTGTCGCTCCACAGGGTCGTACGGGGCATTTAAAGTGTCATAAGGTACTGGTACTAATAATCATGGTCATCTATGTAAATCTGGGATGAATGTAAAAACTCTATAAAACAAGGGAAAAAAGGTCTATAATGTGATTTTGCAGAGATCAGAATCTTCCTTAGGATGGTGCTATAACCCTCTGGTTACTTAATAAGTATTGTTCCTGGTGGTTCATGAGAAGCTTTGGACCAGCCTTCTGTGCTTGGGCAAGGTCCTTAAGTCCACAGGAGGGAACAAACTCACCGTCTTCCAGGAAAGGGAGTAGTTCCATAACTACTTAGAGGAACGGCCTGTAGAGTTCACAATTCTCCCGACACAACTATTGTAGGCCGAGCTCCTCGGTCACAGCAGCGCCGCTGCTCCTACGGNGAGGTCCTTAAGTCCACAGGAGGGAACAAACCCACCATCTTCCAGGAAAGGGAGTAGTTCCATGATAACTACTTAGAGGAACGGCCTGTAGAGTTCACAATTCTCCCGACACAACTATTGTAGGCCGAGCTCCTTGGTCACAGCAGCGCTGCTGCTCCTNACTATTGTAGGCCGAGCTCCTCGGTCACAGCAGCGCCGCTGCTCCTACGGCCCTGTCCTCCCCGCTCAGGCTTTACTGCCCTCCCCTAATGCGCCATTAAAGCCCTTCAGCCTAAATTCACAGAAGCCATTAGGGAAGACATCCTGAGATAGGTTTTAGGAACACATTTTCAGCCTAGTCAAGTGGCTTTTATGTCGCTTGAATAAGGAGACCTTATTCAAGGTCTTTGACAGACCAAGATCGTCAGGGTCCTCTTTCTGGAACATACTGAGTAACAAGCCCCTTGCCTACAAACAGAACCAAGTATGTGCCACCCCCAGCCCGCGGTGCATGAGCAGTCTCATGAGCTTTGAGTACCTTCTCATTTAGTTTGTTAGGGTCTTAAAGCGAATTCTGGATTTATAAGTGATCAGCTGTAGCTGTGGCAATTTTTTCTCTGGTGCAGGGTACAATTTGCTAAAAAGATAGAGTGTAGGGGGTTTTCCAACTGCATGTTGCTATGGCTGCTCTCTCTCAATAGTGCATTTTCTACCCCAAACCCTTTGATGGATTTCATTATTTCGAGAATTATCAAGTTCAAACTCACTCATATGGAATAAAGGCCCTTTTGTCATCTGGCTCCAGCCACATGGAAGCACACGGGGGTCCCCTAAATGCTCCCTGCATCCCCCCACATTCTGCTGTTCCTTCGCCCGAATCAGAGCTGTTCCTGCACCCGGACAGTGCAGATTCATCCCTCACCTCATAGCTCAGATGCCACTTCCTGCAGGAAGCCTGTCCTGATTTTCCAGCTCTGAGTCACTGTCCCATCTATACGCTTTGCAGAGTATACTTCTTCCATCATAACATTTATCATTTATATTTCTTTTTCCTCCAACTGGATCATGAACTCCTTGATGTCAGGGTTGGTTTCTAAATTAATGTTGGACTCCACCACTACTCCATCACATAGGCTCACGGTGTAATGAATGACTCGGTGATACCAGGAGAATGTCCAGTGCGTTCAAGCTTAATCCTAACGATCTACCCGAGCACTGCGCTGCATCGCCAAACACTCTACAGTTGAAAGCCTGCGGCAGCCCAGGTGCTAGGCTCTTCCTGCCTCTCTCAGACCTGCATCCAGGGAGCACCGGTTAGTGTTCGCCAAGTGAGGAGGGCCCCCGAGGAACCCTGCCCGGAGGAAGGGGCCTGGGTGTGGCAAGAGCACACACTGATTCCGTGGCCTGGATTATGAGGGCTTGCTGGGGAAAATGAATTGCTCTGGGTTTGACACTTTACCAGCTTCTATAAATCCCTGTGCATCACTTTTTTTAAAAACTTGAATTTATTGGGGTGACGCTGATTAACAAAGGTATACAGGATTCAGGGGTGCTCACCACCCCAAGTCAAGTCTCCATCCATCACCATTGATCCCCCGGATACTGTGCTTCACCTCCCCCCACCCCTCCCCTGGCAATCACCACACTGTTGTACATGTCCATGAGGTTTTTCTTTTTTCCCCTCAATCCTTCCCCCCAACACTCCCCTCAACAGCTGTCAGACTTGAGCACCACTTTTATTATTTATTAAAGCTACATATCAATATACCCACTACTTGCCCCGGAAACTAAAGATCATGCTCAAAGAAGAACACAGAGATCAGAGGTAACAATTAGTTTAATGGTGACACTTTTAGCTTCGATCTCACATTCATGAATTCCTCAAGTATTCATCTATTTTGATAAGTCACTACGCTAGGACTTCAGAAATCTAGACAACTGAGATATAGTTCCTTTAGGGATGGACAGAATACGAAAGCTTCCTAAGGAGCCATATTAAAAAGGCTTAAAGTGGCGAAGCAGTGTGTTTACTACTAAATTCAGAGAAAAAAATATGAGGAAAATCCTAGAAAATTATAAAAAAGTGGATTTTAACATAAAAATAAAGTGTATAGGCATAGATTCTGCATATATGGTTTTTGCAAAATGGGATGCGGTGACCCCTTCATCAGACAGGGCCAGCCGCAGAATGACAGCATTGTTTATTCATACACCAGGAGAAAGGAAAGGAAAAGAAACCCAGAGAGCTATGTAAGAATTCCTGCCAGAACAAGTTGAGATTTTCTAGTTCTGAAACTTAGCACCCCTTTCTTATCTTTTCAAATGGTCCTAAATATGAAATAACTTACGCTGAAGTGTCTCTTTCATTTAAGGCAATCTAATAAATAGTTTCACTTAAGGTGCTCTATAATAGGGTTTCATTTAAAGCTCTGTAATATGATTTAACTCGGTGGTTACCAAACCTGGGTATGTTCAGAATCGCCAGGCGGGCTTTATAAACCATGGATTCTGTGACCTGCCGAGCTCAGCCCTGCGGCAACTGGACTCTCTGTGGACAGGGCCAGGCATCTGTCCCAAAACAGACCCTTCTAGACCTTATACACAGTCGTGTTCAGAAATACCACTCAGGCACCGTTCAAATCCAGGAATATCAATCTGATTTTAAAATGTGAACCCCTTAAAAGCTTACCTATGGATGTAAAGGTGTAAAAGTGCAACGCTTACATTCTGGACAAATTATTTGGTTAAAATCTGTATCGAGGCCTCTGACACCCTACATATCATTAGCAGGGAACTAGTGAGTCCCCTCTCACTGTTATCATTCTTGGTGATGACAATGTCCCTGTGGACATGCCACCTAATACCTGAGCCCCTCACTTCCCTGACCTGCCTCCCATCATCGTTTCACCATCCCACCAACTGTCCCCTTGTCCCCATGTCCCCATGTCCTGGCTCACTCCTTTGTCATTATTCCAGCCCACCCCTGACCTGCACGTCCTCCTGACACACGGAGGCCACCCAGCCCTCAGAGAAAGGGCACCGTTTCTGGGTGGTTCACTGCGGTAGCCCCCAGGCTCCCCAGAGTGCCCGGAACAAAGGAAGTGCTTAAGTAAAGATCTGTCATAAAAATAAGTGGGCCTGGTTCCTCGGTTTCTCAGGCCTCTGGAATAATAGGCCATGTATTCATTTTCCCTTAAGAGAAAACAACAAAAGAGCCACCACCTCCCTCCCCCCAAAATACCAACCGACTCTGTGCAAGACGCACTGTCTACCGCCGGCCGACGAAACGATTGACCGTGTTGGTAGGTGGCTGCGTGTATCAGGTAGGGGCCATCAAGAAGTGGCCCTGCCACCGGAGCCTATGTCCCTGAGACGGAGGCCACGTCCCTCTGAAGGTGCTGATTCCCGCCGTGGGAGCGAGACAGTGGGGCCCCCCCAATGCTGTGGGCGGGCAGGGTCCCAGGCGGAGCTGAGATACCCGCCCTTCTCGCCTGGGTGGCTTTCCAGGACAGTGGCAGAACTTAATAGGCTAATTACATCCCTTCGGGCGCCTGCCTGGGATCAAGTGGCGCACCCCGCCATCCGATCCGGCTGCTGGGAGAGCAGGAAACAAGAAAGGGGTGTATCCAGGCCCAGATCACCTCCCTGTGTCCCGCGGCTTTCCGACAGGTGCACAGTGTGGGTTTAATTCTTTGTTACATGTCCTCCCAGATCGAGTCTGCTTTCAGGTTCTTGGGGGGGTATCATACATATAATTCTATAGTATATTATTTAGGGTTATTTAAGGTGTCACACAAAGGCTATTGGTCACAGACAGATCTGTGCTAAGAAAAGGGTGGGGTGGGTGAGGTGGGAGAGTGTGAGGGGGAGTTGAAAGCAGAAACACACAGTTTGGAACAGGGGGCAGAGGTGAAAGCTGCCAGGATTGGGTTATTACGGACCAGGTCTCATCTTTCATCTCTTTCTTACCAAGTGGCTGCTGCTTTTGAAAAACTGGTTCAAACAGGTGTGTAGCAAATTTAATTTTCATAGTTTCCATTGCATGTCGATTTTGCACCTTACTCTCTAATATATCCACGTGTCTTTTAACATAAAAGTTCCAAATTTCTTGCTGTGGAGTAAACCTGATTTGGAATGCGAATCCTGCCTCTCCTGGCATCACAGGTCCCCAACAGCACAGAAACCCTAGTTTGAGAAGTGCCCTCCTATACCATGGCCCCGGTAACCTGAGATTTTTAACATCTTGCAATATTTGGAGGCAGAATGCTCAGACGACAA